CTCCACCCTACTGGCACGTGGCTGAATCCTGCAGGTCTGAACTGAATACCCAATATGGCCCAATGGCAAAGAAATGGAGAAAATTGCTCTAAAAACCATCAGAGCACCAAAAGTTAACCCCCATGTTGCACTACTATCACTTTTTACTCCAGAATCACCCCCACATCCCTGTACAAACCCCACAATAAACTGCTAAACATACACATTCAATTCCTGGCCTTCGCAAGAATTTGCTCCTCAACCTCATTCCTCCTCTACTTAAAAAGTTTTGGCTAATTTCTACTGTAATGTACTTGTGGACAATTAGCATTTAGATGATCTCAAAGCAGTAGTACCTTACAGATTATTCTCATCCAGCTCTGCAAAACAGCTTTCACAAAAACTGGTCTAACCACAAAGTCTTTGGCCTACTCTTTTCTAGGAAAAACGAGCCAAAATACATTAATCTCTTCTGACAAAACAGTGTATGTAGCCTCCAAGTTCTATCAGCAAGAGCAGAATTAGAGATTTTCACAGGACTGGAACTGAAGTTGCCCACTGCATGAAATGACACCTCACTAAACTCTCCTATCTGCACTGAGAGTCTCCCATCGGGCGCACCTGGGGAGCTGCTCTTTCCCAGAGCCATTTCAAGGTGTGATTCATTTCCCATCAGTTAAATAACACATATACATTTCCTTTATGATCCCTGACTGACAAATTCCTTTGCTCATTCTTAAGGCCTGTGGGTAATAAAAAGGCCCTCAGGGGCAAAACAGCGAATGGAAATTGCTCCAGTCCCCGGGTCATTCAGTCTTCCTGCCTGACAGGCAAGTCCCCAGGTGTCAGCACCACTCCCAAAGCAGTGCAGCACAGAAGGTTTCCAAGCACATCCCTTCCAAGACAGATCCCTGAAGAACATCCTTAGTCACCTCCCTCCTGCTGCCAGACAATTACACATCCTGGCACTGGGGCCCAGGAGAGCAGATGAAATATAATCCATGTCCCCAGCACAGAGCCCAGGCCCTGGGATTGGTATCGCTGTCCAGATCAACAATGGAGGGGGAGGGACTTTTTTCTCTCTCTCTCTCTCTGAAACTTTTCATTCCAAACCTGTAACAAAGCACCCAGGTGACACAGGGGAACCACAGCATCATCACAGCCCTCCTCCTTCAGCAGCTCCTCCTGCCTGAGCAGGTAGGGACAGTCACACCCCAGGAGCCCTGCAGAGGGAACGAAGACTCTCTCGGAGTTCTGCAGCCCTGGTCCTCCCAGCTCAAACACGAACTGGGAAATGTGCAAGCCAAGCTTTACTGACAGGGGAAAAAAGTAAATATCAAAAATCCAGATACTGATCAAAAAGCAGAAGCTGCAGTACAGAGCTGTAACTAGGACATTATGATGTTCCATCTTTTCTTAGTGGGGAACAAGGGAAATGTGAGTTACATGTATTTGTGTTTATGGATTTATTTTTCATTGTTACCAGTTAAGTAGTGAAAACAAAGATAAAAAATGCATTTTTAAATGAAACTATTAACAGATTTTAACGCTAATTTTTGGAATAAACTAAAAGCAGGTGCTGTTTATGCAGGCAGGTTTTTCTTCTCCTCTGTGATTTAATACGTACATATTTAATATGGTCAGCCATACAAAGTACAGCATCAACTACAAAAAAACCCCAAACAACAACAACAACAACTTTCTTGAGAACCACCAAAACGTGCTCCTTGCACAAAAATGTAACAGCAAAAACTGACAGCCTGATGAAATAATCAGCTCTCAAATGTTATTTACTAAAGAGTTCTCTCTGCTTAGCTGTTTCTTTTTAATGCATTATTATTTAATGTTTGCTTTACATGACTAAAGCAACTAATCAGATCACTTCAATAAATACTTTCTTAGAGACAGAGCCTGCTTTAAAAATATTAAAACAACAGAGGGCTAGAGAGAGTTATCTTCAATAATCAGTTCAGAAATCTTCCTGTATCCATAACTGGCCACCTTCAGCACCTGTGGAAGAACTGTCTGCTTTTCATCAGCAAGTCTCAAGTCTGAAAAGCAGAGTTAGGAACAGAATGTAAGTATTTCTAAATAGAGGGGCATTACTCACAACAGCTCCCAGGTAGTTGCTATAGTAGCTGAGAAATAAAATCAAGGAAGAACTTCAGTGTTGTCAGGGGAGCATTTAATTTATTTAGAAATATCTTGAGCATCTTTGTGGTAGATGTATACAATGGCTTCTATGAGAACTGGGCAATTCACTGGCATTCTACAACTGTAAGCATGGAAAACTTCTTTTAATTGCAGGCAGACAGGCACAGAGAACCTCAGGAGCGCCCCAAAGCCACTGATGTTGCCCTCAGTAAATTCAACGTGTTCCCTTGCAGCCAGGAGCCTGTGGCTGCAGGGGAGTATCTGTTAAGGGGCTCCAGCAAGCACAGGAGAAATGCCTTTGTGTGATCCTCCTTGGAGGCCAGGGCAGAACACAAAGCCCTTCTGTACCCACGTGCTGAGGGGGAAATGTGGCCCATGAATTAGCACCTCTGAGGCAGCTACGCAGGTAACACAACAACCCCGATCCCAACTGCCTTTCAACAAAGAGAACAGCATCAGAATTCCCTTTCCTCGATGCACAAGAACAGGTATGTCCAGGGCCTGGATGCCCAGACGTTCCTTTCCATTCCACCAGAAAGTTCCTTGTGGTATTCCAGCTGCAGAAAGAACTGAATTTTTTCCCCACCCACCTTTACCTCAACAGGGACAGAGAGCTTACTGCCTTAATCCAAAGGCAAATCGAAAACTCTTCGTGGAAACACACAGCATTTTTTTGGACAGAGTGTGCTCTTACCAAAACCAAACTACTAAAGCCCAAGGCATAAGCTCATACCAGTGACTCATGCCAAGAAAACTATTTTAGCACATATTATTTTATTTGTGAAATCGGGATAACTCACATTGGGAAAAGAAGTATCTGAGTTTTTTCCTTTTTTTTCCTCCCCAGTGTCCCTCCCAACAGTAAACCCTCACCTTTTGCAGACTATTTTCTCCAGAACTGCACGAAAATGACCACTCCAGCCAGCAATGACTTTTAAAAACCTGGCACTGCTCTCCCCACCTGTAGTAACTAAACTCCAGACCAAAGCTGCATTTTTCACCTGTTTCCCTCTCTCCGGAGAATCATCAACAAATTTCAATTACAGGAGAAGTAATTAAAGCTACGCAAGAATAAGAAGAACTTGCCTGGAGATCACCAAAACTCTTATGACTCAGCCATTACCTCAGCCCTACCTACAGGTGTGCTGCCTGCAAAACAAAAATCTCCATCCTTAGGGGAACATTGCTCAGACTACAGAACGCTCATTGAAACAACGCTTGTTTTCATTCACTGCTCTCCCTTCCTATGCCTCTTCCTGCCTTGTTTACAACCTGAATGGAGATTTCCCAGCTTTTCCTCCCAAACGTCTGCATTAAAAAAAATTAGTTCACCTACTTTTGGATCAAGGTAACATCGTTTGTTTTTTTTTTTTAATGCACACAGGCCAAACACAAACAAACACAACACTGAATATCAAACCCTGCAGCACAGCAAAGATAACTGACGATGTAACCAGAACAGACTTGTAAAATGGATAATTATTTTCTGAAGCATCCATTTCAATTCTAGCAGCAGGTTTTGTACTGGGACAACAGAGGTGGCCTTCGGCCAGCAGCTGAGCTATGACAGTCTGGATACTTCATATTCCTGGGAACATCCAGCTGAGGTGTAACAGGGCTTGTTAACTTTATATACTCCCACTGACTGACAGAGCAACAGGATTTTAAGTAATGACTCCGCTGTGTTATTTTATGCCACTTGTATATATTTCCCTGCACTGACAGGTTCCCATCTAACACTGCATTTGTGTCTTGTTTTTTTTATAAACACATGCAAATCTCTTACTTCTTCTATTCGTTATGGAGATACGTGGGATGTACTAAAGAAAATATTTGTTGCTCAAGATGAAAAATTAACAACTCTTTTTTTAATTACTGAATCAACCAAAAGAATTTTAATAAAAAGGCATTACAGCTATTAATTGCTCAAAATTCTGTGGCCAAAATCCCACTTTAACAGCTCAGGTTAACAGATCTTTGAATGAAATTTGTTTGTATTTTTTTAAGTATCTGTATAAATCGATCATCACTACACACTGTGGAACTTAAAAATCCATATGCACAATTGATAAATACAAATTTAATGAGGCATTCAGGTAACTAGTCAGGGCAGCAGTATCAGCTTTTATTATTATACAAGCCAACAGTTTAAAAATATTAAATCAAAACGAGCAAAAGTGAAGCAAAAGAAAGTCTGTGCCTTCCATTTCATCAGACGTTACATTTCTGCTCCTATCAGGGATTTACACACTAAAATAACAAAACCAAAGCCGCCAGCGGGGATGCCTCAGATTAGAGCAAACGCGACGCCGGACGGCTGTAAAATCTGATTTACCAGGACAACGAAAAACAACCCCGGAGGCACCCCCGGAGCTGCAGGGCCGGGGTCGCTGCCGGCTGCCCCCTCCTCGCCGGGCAGGTGCAGCACCGACGCCCCCTAAAGACACCGCGGCCCCTTCCCAACTCGCTCCACACGCACCGCAGATGGAAACGCAGGGAAAAGGGAACCGCGCGCTTAAGTAGATTAAGGGCTCAGCGACTCGTTTTCTGATTATCTGCGCGACCGCGACCCCGGCGCGGGGCCCCCAAACTCCGCTTGTGGCGCGGCAGCGCAGGGAGAAGCGGAGCGCACGCAGCACATCCCGCGGTGCGGGCAGGGCAAGGCAGGGCAGGGCAGGGCAGGGCAGGCTCCGCCGGGGCCGCTCCCCGCGGCAGCCCCCGCATCCCCATCGCCGCCGCCGAACCCACCCGCCGGTCCCACCTGCGGGGCAGCGCCGCGACCCCCGCGGGAGGAAAGAGCCGCCCCCCACCCCCGAGCCCGCGGGGTCCGGCGGGGAGAGGAGGGGGAGCGCTGCGGCAGCACCTACCCACGCCGTATTTCTCCTCCTCGGTGGGACTCCACATGCTGCCGGGCGCGCCGGCCGCGGCCGCCGATCCCCGGGCACAGCGCGGCGGGCGGGCGGGCGCCGCTCATCGAGCGGGGGCGGCTTCTCCTCCCCCCCGCGCTCCGCGGGGGCGCCGCTCCGGCCGGGGCCGCTCTCGGGGGCCGCTCCGCCGCTGCCTGGGGGCGGGTGGGGAGATCGCCCCCGCCCGCCCGCCCGGGCAGCAGCAGCAGCAGCCGCCGCGCCGCTCCCTCAGCGCCCGCGGGCGCGCAACGCCGGCCCGGCGCCTTCGTAGCGCGGCCCCCGCGGGCTGCGGCGCTGCGGTGGCGGCGGCCCCGCGGAGCTCGGGCGGCCCCGGCCCCTGCTCGTCCCTCGCCGCCTCCTCCTCAGCCCCGCTCCGCTCCCGCCGCCGCCGCCGGAGGACTCCGCGGCTGCCGCGCCCCCTGCTCCCGGCGGACCCGGCGCGCACGCGCGGATCGCACCGCCCCCCCTCGCGCTCCCCCGCCTCCCTCAGCCCCGCGCGGCCGCACGAGGCGCGCGCGGGCGCGAGGCGCGGGGTGGCGGCGCGTGGCCCGTGAGGGGACGGGGATGGGGGGGCGATCCCGGTCCCGGGACAACCCCTCATATCCCATCCCATATCCCATCCCATCTCATATCCCATCCCATCCCATCCCCGCCGGCCCCAGCGGCTCCCGGGAGGCCGCAGTGCAGCACCGAGCGCGGCCGTGCTTGTCACCCCCGGGGCCAGCCCGACCCCCGCCCGGTGCGCTCAACCCCGGCCCCTCCGGGCACTGCCGGCACCGGCGAGCGCTGTCAGCGCTAAACAAAGTCATCTTCAACACCGACACCCAGATCGGGCTGGTGCCGTGGGTTCATTTTCCTGTTGTTTTTATTAATCTCCAAAGCTTCTAATGAGCCAGTAAAAGCCGCGCAGTTTCCGCGACGAGCACTTGCCCGAAACGCAGAACAGTATTTACATTTTAAGTTCATCTTGCGTTTCTTTCCGTAAAACCTGAATCTGAATTCCTCGCGGCAAAGGAAAAGCTGGAATAAGTATTACAGAAGTTTTCCTGCAGTTGAAATTGTGACCCCTGCAATGTTCTGCCACAGCAGTGCCCTTGCCCCGTCAGAGCCTCCCCAAAGCTTAGGGAAGGAAACACTTTTTATGCAGCATTTTCAGAAACCTTGGTAAATAAATTCCTTGACGTGAAGTTTTAGAATTGCACCAAACTTTTTAACAATATAACTTCAGATGTACCCAACACTTTTAATAGAATATCTGTTCTCTGATTATATAATAAAACAGAACGAAAGTCATCAATTTGCACTACAGAACTTGGGTTGCTGTGGAAACCTTCATTATTTATTTTTTTAACACGTGCAACTACTGTTTCCCCACCGAGTAGGGCCAGCTTTCTGTTTGGGTTTTTGTTTGGGTTTGGGATGCTGGGTTTTGCTTTCCTGCATGGAGTGCAAACAGCAAGTGGCCAAGAATGAAGCCGTGCTTGTACATTATTCATTTAGAAGACACAACTTGTTCAATCCTACCTTAATTCATATTCACATTTTGGCATTTATATTTACAATAGCTTCATTCCTCCCCTTCCTGAGGCACTCCCACAGCATGCAGAAATAGCTTTTTGAAGGGACAAAGCATGACAAAGTCATTGAGTTGCATCTGTTGGAAATGATAGGCTGCTGCTGGGTTTGAGAAACTGGTTTTGTTTTTTTATCTCTGTATATGTCAATAATAAATACCTTTTCCTCTCGTCCTAGTACTTTGGGAGCAGAAAACCTCTGTAGTGACAGAAATTGGTTAATTCTTCCAGGCTCTTCGTTTCACAGCCTCAGCACTTCATGGATTCTTCTTGCTGCCAAGCTGACCAGTACTTAAACTGATACTTTTCCTGCTTAAGAAAAAACACAGCAGATTTTTTTTCCAAAACACAACCACGTCCGAGTTGACTCTTCCCCTTAAAGTAAATATGGACTGAAGGTGAACTTGGGAAGGTAAGGTCAGAACCTGGCAAAGTTAAATAAACTCTGAGGAGGACACCAAAGTAGTTGACAGAATGGAAACTGCAAGGAACTAATAGTACACAAGAAACACTGTTTTTAAAGGCCATCCACATCCTGACCATGGTCATACAAATGACAACGTTACCAGGGACAATCATACTGATGGTGCATTACCTGTATTTGAAATACAGCGCATACTATTATGTGCTGTATTTATTCCTGACACTTCTCTGCACTGCTGCTGGGGATACCTGTTTTCAGAGAGGGTCAGTAGAGGGGCACAAGACCCACTTCAGAAAGGAAAAAACTCAGTGTAATTCACTGCAGAGTCAGTGGAATGCAAGTTTGCGTGAGTTAAAGTTACCAAATATATTTACACCTGTTCCTCTGATCCGTGCATTCACCAGTTTAATGAGGCTCCTATCACCTCTACATAAACACTGATTGCCTTAGTAAATACTCTCAGCTTAAGTGTAGCAGTGAACAAACATCCCATCCTGCCAGGGAGGCAGAGGCACTGATCTCCCAGGCAGCAAGTTGGGATTCAGGATTACCCACGTGCAAAGGAGAGACCAAAGCTGTGCAGGGCTGCAAAACAGCTATTTCTTCTGTCTCTTTTTCTCTTTGCTTTCTTAACAGAGCTCACACCTGCCAACTTCAATATTCATACTGCTCTGGAAAGCATGGGAAAAACACCGTAGCATTGTAGTGAACAGAAGCAGGAAATTCTCAGGGTTACGTGCCCCAGGGTTGGGTTTGGTTTTGTGCGTTTATTTTCTGGAGCGGTTTTTATTTTTCATTATTATAAAGATTTCACGTTAAAAAAACATCACCACAAGATTGGAATCCAAAGCTCTACTTCTATTTAAATAGTTTTATGGATTTGTTAAGAAGTTTTAAAAATTGACATCAGCAATCAAACTAAATTTTAAAACCTATTGTAAATGTCAGAGCTCCTACAAAAACAACTTCTGTTGGTGGACATCGTGGGGCCCAGAAACTCACGATTTTCAGAGAGAAGTGGCCTCCCCTGGCAGGCATTTCCTGAGGTGCCGTTCTGAGGCTTTGCCACTAAACCTCTGTGTTGCACTTGTATTGAAATAATGGCAAATACAGGCTTGAAGACCTTATTTAAATAATCCTGAAGTCAAGTCAGCAGGAAAGCACTAATCACTGAATAACACTGGCAAAAGTTACTGAACATCCACTGTGTGCAGGAGCTGCTGTGTCAGAAGTATTGTGAGTTGCTCATGAGTCTGTTACTGCAAACACAATTGTCCTTATCCAAAGAGACCGTGCATTAATAACACAGTTTTAATTAATTAAAATACATTAGAGGGTTCATCTTATATCACACTATCTTGCTGTAATATAGATGTGATCTGAAAGACAGCTGGATTGGGATTGGAGAGATTTGACACAGTTTCTTTCTCTTAAATAGATCAAGGGAACTGCACAATCCTTTCAAATGCTCTGCAAGGGACAATGGAAGGTCAGAGTGCAGAAAGCAGAGATTCTTATTCCTCCCTGCAAGCAGATCTTTCTCAGTTTTCCCAGCCCTAAGGTATCATGGAATGTATCACCCTCATGCCCTCTCTTTCAGGTAAGAGCAGCCCCACACTTTACCCTTTCTCCCCATTCTCAGGCCGATACTTGCTGGTGACTTCTACTTCCATTATTACTTCAAACCTCAGTTTTAGAAATATGGCCCAGAATCCCTACTACCAGAAAAAAGAAATAAATCAAGGATGAATTTTAACTCCCTCTGACAGACAATTTATTTGGTTGAATTACCTCCTTTTCTACACTTGAGGTTCCAACTCGGCCTGTTTGTTTCTTTAAAGTTCATATTCTTTCCCACTGTTAAGATGGATTAAGCCATTAAACAACTTGACTTTCCCATTAAAATATAAATTCCTCACCTTTCAGGGAGAAACAAAAAGAGAAATACACTCTATCAGCATCTCTGATGACTTCACAGGTCCTTTTGAAGCACCAAGTGTTTCTCTTCTGTGCCTCAAAGCAGGGGCTTGTGTGTCCCAAGAACTGAGCTCCTTCCTTTGATGAAGTCATTTCCTGAAGTGTTTGAAGTGTTTAAGCAGATCTAGCTTGTGATGTACAGATCCAAATTCCACTTTTTGTCCCCTTGCACAGGGCCATCCCATGGATCTTCTCCTTATGAAGAAAGGACCAAACCATCTCATTAGTAATCGAAATGCAACAAATGACAGTAGTTTTTCCCTCTAAGGAATCACAGTATTTGTGCCCCACAGCTTCATTCACCTAAGTCTGCTCCCAGTCCTCGACATTTCTCCCAGTGGAAAGCAGACCCTTCTATTCCAGGCAGTTCCAGTTGTCAGTCATCATCTGTTCCTAACTGATTGTCTGCAGCAGGAGCTCATGACCAACAGCAACCAGGAACATTTACCTTTATCACGTGAGAAGCTGCAAACATAACTTTTTGGTAATCTTAGCAATGTTACAAGGGTTCTGTTTTCCCACTCCTTTAGTACCAAAGTTTTTATTCCTGCAGAATGGAAGTCAGCATAAAACATTCCAGAACTTGTCCTATTTTTACCTTCTTGACAGTGAAGGCAACCTAAAGTCACTGGGGGCAGAGAAAGAGGTACTTCCAAATCCTTCCAGCATTTCAGACACTTGGAGTTCAGACTCGCCTAATAAAATCCCCCATAAAAAATGAAAATAAAGAACAAGTTACACAACTTGCAATTACACATTTAATGTCAAAAGTTACTTTTACTCTATTTGTAATATTGCTTGAAAATAAACTCTAAAATTAGAAAAGACCAAGACTCTCATAAGGACAAGCATGGACCAATGTTGTTGTGCCACCATGTCCCAGTCTGTGAGTTTATATGTTGCTTGCATAGAAGGTACCTGGATTAAATCAGGAGAATAATATTTATTTATCTTTAGCACAAAAGTACAGAATGGACTGACTAATGCTTCAATACCAATATGTTAAGTACAATTACCAAAAATTTACAGGGCAGGTGGTAATTATTTATTCAGATGGACCTTTATATAAAAAAGATCCTAGATCATGCTGAATAAATGTTTTTCTGGTGCTAAAGAAACAGAGTATTTTGCTCTTCAGTTAGTAAAAAAGGAAAAG